TTTCTTGAGCACCAAATCAGAATTTTGAAATATTGATTATCTACCCCCTCGAACGCTAATCTCAAGAACGCTCTGTGATGAGCTGGATGTGAAAGTAAGTGTCTTTCAGATCCCCCGATAACAAACAGTCCCTGGAGCAAGTCAGCATCTTGAACGGCCGTTTCATAAGCGTATGGTTCAGATGCCTGAGATCGAGAATAGGCCTGAGCCTGCCATCTCTTTTGGGAACAAGAAAGTAGCGGCTGTAAAAGCTTATCTCGCTGTTCGCTAGAGGATCCATCTCCATGGCTCCTTTTGCAAGCAAAGTTTGCAAATTGGCCATGGCCTTTCCAGTGGCCTGCGCAGTGGCCTTTGTAGCGTGCAGAGCCAGGTCGTTCGCTGTGTGCAGCTCTTTAAAGTCATCAGGATTTGGGCCAGACTCATCAATATTGCGGAGAAGCTTTGCCTGAAAACTTGTAGCGCCACCAATGTGTACTACGCTGAGCCAGCCTGGCAAGCTACTGAATAAGATCTATTTGCTAGAGCGTAGGTCATCCTGCAGGGCTCAGGTGGATGCACTGCATGGGCTTTTACCCCCAGGGCCGATGGAGGGGACAGATGCGCAGCGACCACCACTTCAAGGTGGGGAGCTTGACATATCATCTTTCTTCAGCGCTGTCAACAGTGGTGAGAGCAGCAGAAGTGGAGGAGTTAACATGTACCGAATAGTGTGCCACGTCCCGATGAGGTTGCTGTGAACTTCCTGGAATAACGGGGTGGGCCGCTGGCGAGAAGAACGTTGACGAGGTCCTTTCAGGTACCACTCGTCTAAAAGGTTGCGGTCGGGCTCTTCCAGAGCCGACCAATCTAGGCCGAGATCCTCTACAGCCTTGGTGAGAACACAGATCAGATCGCTGTTCGCACTGGGCCGTGTTGGTTGAGATGAATGGAGAGTGTCAGGATCTTTGCCTGAACACGCCCACTCCTCTGTGTCAGAAGCTGTCAATGACACATTCATTAGCGACAACTTCCTCCTCAGATCTGCCGAAGGAAATTAAGCTGATCCTCACACTGCTCTGCTGTTTCTTTCTCCAAGGCTCCTGGGAGGGAGGAAACGGGTGAGCAGGCCAGGGAGGACCTCTTTCATTAAAGAAGGAGATCTGCGAGCGAAGAAGAGTGAGATAGGGAGCAGTTGTTTTAAATTGTAATAATGATAATATTAGAATTATATAAATGAACAATAAAGTTAATCAAAATGGCATTTTTATTTTATAAGTGGTCCCATGTTACTTTATGATGGTGTTACTGTTATTTAAGTCTAAAAATGTGGTTACCATAGACTTTGTAACGTTTAACTTATGCTTGAGGGTATGTTTGTAGGCCCAGTGAATGGATGAACGACTGTGCTCACCGCTGCTTCCTAAAGCAAATGATTCATCACAGAAAATCTGAAGAATTCTCACACTTCCTTTTCCTGAAATATCCCAGGAATGTAGAGTACAGGCCTATCACCATGGCAACAGAAGTGGTTGGAGTGTGTGTGGTCAGGAAGGACGGTAATACAGCATGTGAGCGTATGGGGGAGTCTGATTTTATTCGCTAGGGTTGAACACAAGAAGAGAATACAACTGAAGTTGTTTTACAAGGTGATGATGTGTGTTTACAGATGCGGTTTTCCAAGGAAAGGTGACATGTCCCAACAAATACGTCCTGTTTCTTTGTACATTATCTTTTATTTGTGTGTGGTTTTGTGGCATTTTATGGAATGTAAACACAGCTCTTGGACCTATTTGGACCTTTCTTGAATACTGTAACTGCATACCGTATAACAATTATTTTAATACTAAATATCTTAATTATTTTGAAAACAAATCCTGTCAGATTAGTGCTTTGACATACATTCCTTCCCAAATGGATTCTGTTATCCCTCATCTTTTTCATCCAAGTTAATTTTTTCTCTTAGGCTGGACAGAGATATAGGTCACTGTGCAAACATGATGCATTTGACAGATATAAGCGGCTCATGTTGTTGTGACTGAAACTTTCAGCTCGTGTTGGGTCTGGATGAGTGATTTCACTGAGATATAAAGCACAGCCACAAACCAGGCAATGTTTGACCTCTTAATTTACTTTTAACGTCCAGTGCGTGTGCGAGCTCTGAACTGCTCCAGATCATTTCTTGAAGCAGAAGAGGACTTTGTGGTTTAAAGCCAGCGGTGTGCTCTCAAATTCAATGCTAATGTCAGGATGAAGCATGCTCTAGTCTAAAGCAATGACCAGGGCACAGTGAGTCATGTTACTCCCTGACACGCACCCTTCTGGAGGTCCAACTCATCTCAGCTTTTTTAAAGTCTGGAAGATTTAATTGTTTTGCAAGAGCCTGTTGGGTGTTTTAATTAAATAGAAGTAGACATGGAAAACCTGATATGTTTGTTTAACAAGAAGAAACACGCATGTAATACAAGTGATATTGTTCCTCTGTTTTATTCATTCATACTGGATGATTATGTTCAGGTACCTTATTATGCTCAGCAATGGGGCTCAATGAGCTTCCTAACACGAGTCCTACAAAATGCCATGCAAACATACACTCACCGGCCACTTTATTAGGTACACCTGTTCAATTGCTTGGTAACACAAATTGCTAATCAGCCAATCACATGGCAGCAACTCAAAGCATTTAGGCATCTAGATGTGGTGAAGACGACTTGCTGAAGTGCAAACCGAGCATCAGAATGGGGAAGAAAGGGGATTTAAGTGACTTTGAACGTGGAATGGTTGTTGGTGCCAGACGGGCTGGTCTGAGTATTTCAAAAACTGCTGATCTACTGGGATTTTCACGCACAACCATCTCTAGGGTTTACAGAGAATGGTACGAAAAAGAGAAAATATCCAGTGAGCGGCAGTTGTGTGGACGAAAATGCCTTGTTGATGTCAGAGGTCAGAGGAGAATGGGCAGACTGGTTAGAGATGATAGAAAGGCAACAGTAACTCAAATAACCACTCGTTACAACCAAGGTATGCAGAATAGCATCTCTGAACGCACAACACGTCGAACCCTGAAGCAGATGGGCTACAGCAGCAGAAGACCACACTGGGTGCCGCTCCTGTCAGCTAAGAACAGGAGACGGAGGCTACAATTCACACAGGCTCACCACAATTGGACAATAGAAGATTGGAAAAACGTTGCCTGGTCTGATGAGTCTCGATTTCTGCTGCGACATTCAGATGGTAGGGTCAGAATTTGGCGTAAAGAACATGAATGCATGGATCAATCCTGCCTTGTCTCAACGGTTCAGGCTTGTGGTGGTGGTGTAATGGTGTAGGAGGATATTTTCTTGGCACACTTTGGGCCCCTTAGTACCAATTGAGCATCATTTAAACGCCACAGCCTACCTGAGTATTGTTGCTGACCGTGTCCATCCCTTTATGACGACCGTGTACCCATCTTCTGATGGCTACTTCCAGCAGGATAATGCACCATGTCACAAAGCTCAAATCCTCTCAGACTGGTTTCTTGAACATGGCAATGAGTTCACTTTACTCAAATGGCCTCCACAGTCACCAGATCTCAATCCAATAGAGCACCTTTGGGATGTGGTGGAACGGGAGATTCGCATCATGGATGTACAGCCGACAAATCTGCAGCAACTGCGTGATGCTATCATGTCAATATGGACCAAAATCTCTGAGGAATGTTTCCAACACCTTGTTGAATCTATGCCACGAAGAATTAAGGCAGTTCTGAAGGCAAAAGGGGGTCCAACCCGGTACTAGCAAGCTGTACCTAATAAAGTGGCCAGTGAGTGTACATTTTATTTATTTAAATGTCTTTAAAGAATTGGGACTCTTTGTATAGTAGACACCTTGAAAGTATTTTGTTTAGCAGATTTGGTCAAGTGTGTGTGACCAAAAAACACAAAAACAAAAATGTTGTTTTTTTTTCTGCATTTATATTGAAAGAGGAACAGGCTGTTCTTGAATTCGACGACTTACTTTCTCCACATCCTTTATTTAATTTCAATTAGACAACAGTTAGAGTTAGACAACACCCTTTACAATGCAGCATCAACAAAATGAATCATTCATCATGCTTTTTTTTTTATTTTATTTTTTTTATTACTGTATAGTGTTGTGATGCCTAAATTTACTTGTACCATTTAAAACAACTTTTTTTTTAAATTTGTTGTTGTTGTTTTTTGGTTTTAATTCATTTTTAATATAAAAAAAGTAGAATATTAATATTTAGTGATTATTGTCCACATCAGGCTTATCATTATCGGCCAGAATATTGGTGCATTTCTATTTGTGTTGCTATTTTAACCCTGAATCCTATAAGTATTTGTTTTTGCAGTTTAGTTAGTCGAATGTCATACAAGAAGACCGTTTTCACTGTCCAATAGTGTAGGTCTCTTAATTTATAATGGCCTTCTGTTGTCTGTTGTGGCCAGGCTTGAGGGAGGAGGCCTGAGGCGAGACTCGAGCTAATCACTTTCTAAGCAGCTTCTGTGTAATCCTCTAGTGCGAGCAGTCGTTTCAGCTCCATCAACAGATTCTGCGATTTCTTCATTCGTTTCACAATAAATTTCAGATTTGTTTTGACCTTACTTGAGTTTCCTCTTTGTGTTTTTTTTTCCCCTTCTAAACCATGTGTAGTTTGTGAATCAGAAAGAGAGTGTTTCTTTAAAGCGATGCTTCAAATACTTAACCATAGGAGTTGAGCGCTTATTGATTTTTGTGTTTTTAGCCTGGAGGAAAGCCTGCTGTGGTTTAAAAATGTTATATTAATTTGTTGGGATGTGACAGCCCACCCCTCTCAGTTCAAACTCACTCTGTTGAGTATTAAGATTAGCAACAGTCTTGGACAAAGCCTATTCTCCTCTAAATCCAGGAGAGACGACTCTTAGCAGGGGCTTAAACACGCAGAGCGAAACTATCGCGAACTACATCTTGAGGAACGTCGAGGTGAACATTTCATGCTTGTCATGGTCTACACGACTCGTTCAGGAATCCCTGTCTTTAGAGTTCGAAGTGGCAGAAGTTGTAGTCATGTACCTGCACTGCGGTGTTGTTGAGGATATGGATTCACTGTCCAGCTGGTGGAACGGGAATGTGGAGTCACTTTTGGACAACCACAGGTGGCAGTACGCACAGACGGGCAACACGCTGATTCAGCTGCCAGGTAACGCTCTATAGCTTTACCTATTTATATATAAATATATAGAGGTATTTTCACATTTCTGCTTTATACCAGAATAGTTATGGGATGCTGCTTCTGTTGTAATTATGGGCACATCTGATACCAACCCACCATCTGTGGATAACACCCTTCATTGGTGAAATAAGGGGTGTGACTTGGTTAAAACTGCTCATGTTATTAGCATAGCAGAATGATTAGCTGTTTTTGTTGAGTTGTAGATTGGTTGTGACTTGTTTTGCAGGGTATAAAGGAACAAAAAATGTTTTAATAAAAATGTTATGCAAGTTTTTGTTATTTAATTATTATTTATTATTATAAAATTTCATTTTATTCAATATTTTGATCATTTGAAACCTTTCAAATTTAACATTTTAAACATCTTAAATTACTAATAAAGTAATTAATATTTGTGTGTTCATTGTAGCTAACTTTAGTTGCTTTTTTAATTCAATTATGATACGTTATGTTTATGTTCTGGATTGTTTGGTTTATTTATTTGGAAAATGTTTGTATATAGTAATATCTGAAATATATTAATATTTTAAATGTGTGTTAATATTTATAATAGTATTGATTTTTTAATACGTATTTAATAATAAATAGTATGTTTATACAATATATTTATATATTTTATGTAATATATTTTAATATATTGTAAAATAAGTTAGAAGTGTTAATTCTGTGACCCTGCTTGATTTAAAGATGGGCTTTATCTGTACATGACAGGTTTCATGTATACTTTTATTATTACTATCTGTTTGTATCAAGGAATTGATTGTATATTAGTATCGATACTGAGGTACCAGTTTACCAAAGCCAAAGTTTTGGTATTGAGCCAGCCTTTCATAACAGACACCCTGGGGTGTAAAATCATATTTTGTTGGCAATATTTGTGGCAGGTGTGGCAGGTTTTTACATGCCAATAATCTGTTGTCACAGTTCATATAGGTACAGTATATAGAGGTATTTTAGGTATTTTCCTTTATACCAGAATAGTTATGGGATGCTGCTTCTGTTGTAATTATATAAACTATATAAGGACCATTTAGGGACAAATGCCTCATTGATGAAGAATAATGGCATCTTTACTCCTCCACATTGAGGTTTGCTCTCCTGATGTGTCTGTATAGGATAATTGTCTGTAGCCCCACAGTGATTTTAACTGCTTCGCTCTTTATTTTTATCCTCATTTTTCTCTGTCTCTCTCATCTAAATATCACCTATTGTTGTTCTAGTCTCAGTATGGAGGGAGAGAAGCTGTCATCTCCTTTTTCAACTAGTCATCCAACAACCAACTAGTACATTGGTCCATTTCTGGGCCACATTTTGGATGTCTTCCTAATCACACACATTTGTCTGGATCAGTGAAGTGTTGTCTGATTTTTTTCTTCCTAAATGTGCACGTATGTGTCAGTGTTTGAGGTTGTACTCCTGACAGGAGGAAGCTGGTTTGGATGTTCCTGCACTTGCATTTCCGATTACCTTTGCGTGTGGTTTCAGTGATCAGATCACAAAACTAAAAACATATCACTTTTTTTTTTTTTGATTTAGCTCAGAAAAGTAATCAGCAAGCTCTATGATTTGAGATATTATTCATGTCCATAGCACAAACAGTGCAGGAATAACACAATGCTTGCTTTTTATTCTCACCTTGCTGTATATAGAGAATATAAACTTCATACATCACAAGTAGAAAAAATAGAGATTGAAAAGGTGTGTGATGTGCAGACTGTCTATGGAAAAGGAGGGGAGGAGAGAAAAAAGGACAGATAGACTGATGGAGAGGGAGGACAGAAATAGAAAGGCTGTGTCTTGAGGGTGCGACTCCCCTCTGTTTCTTTGTTGAAGTGGAAAGAGCAGGGCACCACATTGGACCTCTATGGGGGTCCTACTAAATTTAGGCAGACCAAAAACAGACAACACAGGAACAATCAAGTATAATGCTAAAGTCAGATGTTTAAAAAATAAAAAATAAAATAAAAAAAAATATATATATATATAAAC